CACATGGCTACGCGTACTGAGTTGGAATCATAGAGGACGCCGAAGCTTGTGACATCTCACCAAACTCACAATATCTTCCAGAAACTCCTTCCGAATTACGGTGTACGAAATGGAGGGAGGGAATCGAGCAGATGCTGACACCCTGGCATACGCCCGCGGTGCAGCATCTGTTTAGAAAGCATGGTGAAGCGTGTCGAGCGCGAATGAGAGACTTTTTCTGTAGCCAAGGGCCTGAAGGTCGATTTAGAGCTGTTGTAGAGTGGCTACACCGACCTAGACTTGTGTCGCAATCACTGCGCGGTGGTAGGCCCTCTCGATCGCTCTCTGAAGGTGTCGAGCGCACACGGCGGAATCTTCTTACGGCCGCCGAGGGCGTCCCAGGAGAGGTTTGTCTTCGAAAGCATCACGTTCTCCTTCTAATATCGGGCGAAGCGAAGCGAACCAACAGGTGGAACAGTCGCTGACGATGGTGGTGTCCTCCCCAATGTTCACAGTGTATGATGTTAGCGTGCCGGCTGCGCGTCGCTCCAGTGCCGCGGCGCCACTCATAGAAGATGATCACTCGAAGCTGCTCCAGTGAAACTGACATCATAAATAAACACAGGGAAGAGCAGGAGCCTTGATATACCTCTTGTGGAAAAGCTTCGAGAATGTTCTACAACCTTAGCATGTTACGTCATGTTCGAGCTTCGAAGATCAAAAACTGTAGGCTATCAAAAAACACTGACAGGTCTTTCTTTCCAACCTATATAATAAGTCGTGGTTTGAAAATTACACTTTTCGCCCTTTTATAAGAGAATACATACCTTTAGATCCAGAGAGAAGAAGTTCATCGGTGGCAGCCACTGAGAGGACAGCTTTTGAATGTCCTTCTACAGTAGCTGTTCGTGTCACTACCCGATACTGCCCACCAGTACCTGGTCGTGCGGGAACAATACGACCTTGCCTTCTGAAATAACAGTAAAAATAGACGAAATCGTGTGCAAAATTTCATGACCATCACTTTCTATAATCACTATGAATTACATTTTAAGAGGACTTAAAGGTGCAGACCATGGTGATCATATGGGCATATACAATAAGAAGAACCGTGCGATTTATCCATTGGTGCATCTTCATTTCAAGCCGAAGAAGAAGCGCACCAATGAACAATGAACATCAGTTCCTCGCTCCGCCCATAAGATCAGCGTGGACTGCGTCGTTGAAAAATCAATTGCCTGACAAATGCAATTTTAGGCACAATCTGAAGCGGGGAGTCTACTGGAAATGCGAGGGCGAAAAGGATCTCTTCAGAATAACCCGATAAAGGGAAGAAATTAAGCGCATTAGAGAGAAGTAAGCATTTTGCAACCAAGGGAGCGAATCTAATGAGCAGCAATAGCTCCAAAGGTAATTGAAGCCAAATAGTGGCTGTTTTATTCAAAGGCTTCTAGTGGAAGTAACTAACTGTATTAGTAAAAACAGAAAATTAGATACGCGGCTATTGTTCTCAGTACTGCCCGCTGACCATTCCTGATGATTAGTGGGGGCCATGCTCTCATCAGCGAGAAGCCATGAGAATAGTAGCCACGAAAAATCAACCATCATAGATAGTAAGTCAGACCGATTCAAAAGCGTTGAAGGACTGGCTTCGGTTGTCCACGGTATCAGACGCGCAAATACGGACTTTGTGGTCCGAGTTGAATGGTCCGAGCCGGCCCGTTCACGGACGGACGACATGGGCGCGTCTTCACCGCCCACAGGAACTTCAGCCAATGACGGAAGGCGAGATGATGAAAGCATTCGGCTACACCCAGATTACTAAACACAACTACAACCACCATCTAGCACAACAACATAGTTACGTGACAAAAGCACACAATATTAATCGATAGATTAGAATAGTATTAATATATTTGTTAAGAAAATCTACTTCACCACAAGAATATCTTATCAAAAAAAATACCGCTACATGGAGGATTCTCCACAGAATGCGATCCCTATCTACGAAAAAAAAACAATGGCTAAAGAAGGAAATCGCCAAGGGAGACGGTCAGACCTCAACTGAAGTTGCCGAGGAACTGCAAAAGCAGGATCCACCACACACTGAGGAAAGGACCCAAAAAGTATTTCACCGAGGTTAAACCTCCCATACTCACAGAGTGGGTTGGAATGGTCTGCAAAGGCTAGGAGTAGAGTGGTGTGGTAAACAAGGAACTTTGCTCATTGCCCTGTGGCTGCTGACAAGGCCTACGCCGAGCAATTGGCAAAATACATGGATGTATGCTGAGATATTTCTCCATAAGCTCGCGTTTCCATATCAAGATATGTCTGAGTTCAATGTTAAAGGCAGTTAGCACGATGATTTGGTGCTCGGCCTAAAATGCTAGGGCGCTATATAGTGGGGAAATGGCGAAAGAACGGAGTGAAACGGTCAAAATCCTGCGAAGAAAGAGCCTCCGTTCTCAATGTGTTAGGAAAATCAAGGGCCCTTTGGTACGCGAGTTTTTGTGGGCATCATTGTAATAACCGCTACCCAGAGCTGGGTATGGCTGCATATGTGTACTCATATATCCATGCAGCATCACGGCCGCTTCATACCAATCCCTTCGCTTCATAATTTGCTTAGCAAATGAATCGATTAGAGCGTCAGGAACGGTCGTCCATTTGTGGGCGGGCGGCATCGGCGGGCTGTGGGTCGCGTAATGTTTTGGCTTGAGTGGGGGCACCTCGCTTGGAAAGGATTATGCAGCGCCTGCAGCCAAGGGTCGGCGGAATTCGCGTCGCAGACAGGCGTATTAATTCCTACTCGTGCTTGGGGGATTCTATCGGTGCCAACTGCCCTTTCAACGAAGACCTAACGCGAATGGGGTTGAGGAGCCTGCTGCTCTGCTCCTCCTGCTATGCCTCGTAGTAGTTTCGCAGACGCTGAGGCTGTTGCAGGAGGACCACTAACTGGCAGGCTTTGTTTTCTATTCTGGCTCACTTTTCCCTCGCCCATAAAAAATAAAAACGCCTAGTTACTATTTCCGTCACTATATTTTTTTCGTTCGCCTCCTCATATCGATAAAGCAGCTCCCTCCCGAGAAGGGAGTTACTCATAACGGGCGGGCAGTGATCAGTTTAAATAAGGCTCGAAATCGCAATCCCGTAGCAAAAAGTCCAGGGCGGCGTTTTGAAGGCCAAAATGGCGCACTCTGTTATCAGCTCCCTGCCATCGGATGAGGTGAACGGTGTGCTGCGGCTGCCAGTTAGTGTGGCTAACTTCTCCGCTCAAGAGGCCTAGCCGGTTCTGATGCACGAGTGTCGGTCTCCCTAATCCAGGCCGCGCTGCTGCACAGCTAACCGCACGCCCCCAGCCAAACGCGCTACTTGTCTGTGCCCTCTTACTTCTGATTGTTCTCTACCGCTTGGTGCATTCTTCGCCCCGGAATCTTGGCATCGACGCAAAAGCTGCACACGAGGATGGCGCCGTGTCGTCTTCCATCTCCGCCGCCCGTGCACTTCTGAGCGAAGAATGGCGCAATACTGCAGTTCTGATCTACCTCGCACATGAAAAAAGCCGTCTTTGAAGGTGAATGGACAGTTTGTCTTTAAACGGCCTGAAGGACGTCAGAGGAAGAAGCCGTACATGTTGTAATGCTAATAGGTAAGCTGTATTGACATATAAAACAACAACAAACAACAACAACAACAAGACCAGACCCATGGCCATTCAGTGCCGTCGGCCTCGAAGGCAGTTGAACACCTCGCAATGGTCTCGGTGGTAAATTTGCAATCGTATTGCGGAATTTTGAATTCCTTCGGAATGCCGTCGATGTAGTTGCCAATGGTGGCATGTTTGACGTTGACGGTGTGGAAGACAGCCAACGAAGCAAGCCTCACTGACCCAAAACACACTAGCTAACCGCAGCTACTACAACACCAAACACATCAGCAACTAACAGCACGATACGCAATGTTAGGGAAGCATTGATAACTGGTGAATGCATGCATGCGCTTCGAAGACATAACATCTAAAACTTCAATAAATCAAAAAATATGTATAGCCAGCCGTTTTCGCTGCATACGCTAAGGTAGGTTCGGGAGCTTGGTACTACGCGGCGCCAGCCTGACCACCACCATTTGTCGGCGGGCAAGCGACAACAGTTGGAAGAAGACGAGCTGGCGCCGCGCCAAACCCTCTTCCCTGTAAAGCCCCGGTATAGCGATTGATGAGCGAATTCCATCGTCGTCGGCCTTTCAGTGTGAGCAATGATTTTTTTGCATGCAATCGGTCCCAAGTGTGAAGGCGTGTAGTGGGACCGCCTACGCACTAGGCGGTGGTCAAATCCGGAGTCACGCTCGTCCCAGTAGCCTAGAAAGGTAGATGTGTCTCTTTGGTGCTGTGCAAGCCGCTCAAGGTGGGGGGGGGGACCCAATTCTTGCTTTTGCCCTCTCAGGGCTCATTTTCACTCGGACAAAGGGTTCGAGCAAAAACGAATAGAGATTGAAAAGGGAAAATCTTAGTGAATTGGAGACCGTGGTAAATTGAGCCATGAAAAACTGTATGCCCATTCTCCGCCTTGCTAAAGCTACTAAATGACCCCTACACCATGGAAAACGCCGCTTTTGACCAAGAAGCGGGTTTTACGCATGATGGTTAGAGACCCGTTGTGGAAACACCCGCAATACGGAAAAAATGCGAGAATCAGATGAATTCTGTCTTCAGCAGAAAGCCGACTTAAAAGGAGTGCAGGGGGAAATCGAAAAGAGCAAAGCATTGGTAGGGTGCACAGCACAAAAGCCATTTGGAAAGAAGCTGTCAGTCACAATCAAATAATCTACCTAAAATTTCAACATTTTTTTTCAAAAACTGTGCCTATACTTCGCCCACCGACCGATTCTTCCTCCGCCCCCTCCTCCCACGTCAAAGTTGGACAAAACGGCATGCAACATGAGATTTCACAAGTGCGGATTCATTTTGGTTCAAAACTTCTTAGATGCCACAAAGTGTGAATGGGCAACCTTTTCGTCGAGACTTACACTCGTTGTTTTTTCTCTTTCTTCTCCTCCTCCGGGGCTGATTCCGGCTTTGTTGTTTCTGGTTCTTTAGGAGACGTCGGCTCAACGTTCTCAGCCGGATACAGCAATTCATCGGCTGTCGCTGTATGGCGCCGTGCTCTGTACGGAAGCGGCTCGGAGGGGTCTAAAAAAACGAAAGTGGGTGAATGCCAGGTAGATTCGCAATCAAAAAAGAGATTTCATCTGGAAAAGTGGAGAAATGAAGAACTGTAAAAAAAGAAGAAAACAGGGGGAACACCAAGAGAAACGAGTGAGGCAACTAAAACGCGTGCACGCCTCGCCGAGCCTTCAGCGCAAATCCATTGGAAATTAGCTCCTACCATCAATGCCGGTAAAAAAGGTGAGCTGCTAAGAAATGCTATCGCTCCTTTGCCTGCTCATAATCCCAAATTTCATCTCTGAGAATTCTCCCCGCAGTGTTCGCATATGTATGGACCCATAGGAGAATTCAGGAGTGGCTGAAGTTCCTGTGGGCGGTCATTTAGAGTGATTTAGACAGGAAGCAGTACTATCCAAAAAGCGCCTACTTTATATACCGTTTTCACTTTGAATTCACCCCTTTTCAAACCAAATTCACAGCTTTTTGAACGGCAAATTCACCTCACTTTCAAATTAACCGCATTTATTAATGCGGGCAACTCTTCAACCAGATCACGCCAGACACCACTGCGAGCCCCGCCCCGACGACCACACCTACTTGTCAGCGCGACATAGATTTTCAAATCTGTTGCAATACAATTCTGCCTTGTTGCTGAGTTTCGCACTAACACTTTGACTGAACGAGCCGGGCATTGGACAAGATGGCCGACTCCGTCCCATTTTCTAAAGGATACGGCAGATTCCAGGCTGCGCGCCCGGCCTTGGACCAATGGCCGCTTACTTTTCGCGAGTCTTTCATTATTTTTTTCAAAAATTTTTGCATTTTAGGGCTGCTGCGTGAAGCCCTGCCCACTGGCTCCACCCACCTTGAAGAAGCTCCGAACACTTTTCAAAAATGATGTAAATCGGCAGTAAGAAATCCTGCGGGCCAGCATGCTAGGGTATTGCCTGATTCATTTCGGAAGCAACAACTTTGCCGTGACTTTCTTGCTCCGAGTGACGAAGGAGACTCCAGCAAGAAAGCCAAGACCCTATACTGCTGATTTGCACCATTTAAAGTGGGCGGAGCCTCTCAGTGTGGGGCGGAAGCTTCACGCAGCAGCCCTAAAACGCAAAACTTTTGAAAAAAATATCGAAATTCCGCGAAAAGGAAGCGGCCGTGGTCAAGGGAGCGGAGCCTAGACTGCCAAACCCTTGAAAGAATGGCGGAGTCAGCCATGTGTCAATGCCGGTCGTTTTCAGTCAGTGTTTGTGGGAAACAGCAAAAGCAGAAGTTATGAAACAAGATTTGAAAATCTATGTCCGCGCTGACAAGTAGGCGTGGCCGTCGGGGCGGGGCTCGCAGTGGTATCTGTGTGATCGGTTGAAGAGTTGCCCGCCCACTAATTAAGAGTGTGGTTTGATTTGATTTTGAAAGAGTGAGGATGAAATTTCGCGTTCAAAACAGTGTCTGTGCTGATAATATTGGCCAAATGAAGACGTGAATTAAAGTGAAAAACGTAGTTAAAGTGATGTATATTGACGAGTGGAATGGTTCGGGTAGAGGCGTTCCTGCGTACACGCGTTTTGGCACGACGCCAATGCGTTTTCACCGCTCTGAGGCGGGCAGGTGGAAAAAAACGTTGCCGCGCCAAAACCTGTGTACATAGGGCGCCTCCTCGCATGCACGCTCATACGGGTCTGAAAATTCTCAGCGTAGTCAAACGCTATTGGAAGCACAATGGCCACTCCTGACTATTCGGGAGGGGGGGGGAGGAGTCACCTCGTCTAACACTGCTTATTCATGACATGAGCACACTTCTCCTCACTTACCCAAGAGCAAAGGCGCACCAACAAGTAGCATACAAGGACGGACTGGCCCCACCCCATGGTCATCGCGGAAATTGTGCCCTTGAGTAAAAAAAACGCAGTTAAAAGGCCCCAGTCAGTCAGATTCTCGTCGACTTCTATTAACACACGATTTCTCTGTATGAGTAGCGTACCTCGGCTCGGGGATATGCTACCATTTCGCAACGAAGCCAATGACGGTGATCGACTCTTCTTTTGCGCGTTCTGTTCAAGCATTCCCTCAACATCGTTGACTGAAATATATGACATCACTGATGTGAAAATTCATAAAAATAAATTCATTAAACTTAGAAAAATACAATGCAGTTGATTGGAATTGAATAAAAAACAAAATGTACGAGGCATAACTTTTCACCCACATACTACTATCATTTCTTCGCACTATACTCATGCAAGAGTACACTGCATCAACATAGCTGGGATGATCATGAACAAGAGGAAACCCTACAGCTGTAACTACTTGGAGAAATGATGACCAGAGAATTTTTTAAGTCGTAGAAATGGTTCATTTTTTTCTGTAATACTAGAAAGGCTTGTCCTTTCGAAGCAAATGCCCACAGACGCTCGATAAGGTGTCGGGGGCAGTACAATGCAGAATTTCTAAAAATATTTCAGAGAATGAACCTCTACAGAACCGGCATAAAAGTTCAGATAGAGCGCGTGGCGGGTTGAGTATGATCTAAGCGCAGTATGAACCGGCACAAGCCGTTTCGCAAAAGCTTTTCTACAGGAACCTGTGAGCGGCATTATGTTTGAATATCAAAAGTAAATATGAACAGTCCTATACGCAAACCACAAAAAAAAGCAGTCTCTAAAACGAATAGGTCCCGTAAAGTGCCCCTTGATCCCTCTTCCACCCGGTATCTATACATTCACTTTGAACTACTGAACCAATTCCGCATATAATGAAGTCCCTAACCGGACAGCTTTCCATCCACTTTTCTTGCGAGCGACCATAAATAGCCGCACAATTACCTTGCCCTTCCCCTTCATGCGATGGCAAATAGAATTTCAAACGTATTCTCGAAAACACCTTTGTTTTCCTCCAACGAGGACCTCGTAAATTCGTTCCGGGTTTGGTATAACGATTAAGTCCTCATAAACTAATCTCCGAGAAAATTAGCCAAACAAAACCAAACGTATAGATAAATACACTCAGCTTATATGCCACATGAGCAGCTAGGAGGTAAGATAAGGCGCAGATAAGCACATTTGGGTTAACTTCATCCTCTCAGTCGGAGCTGAAAGCAGCAGAGAAGGCTGGAGGATACGAGAGAACTAGCCACCCTTCAGGTCTGCAAAGGCAATTGTAAAGTATTGCTTGGCATTTTGGCAATGGCAGTCCACACCCTCCGAAAAATCTTGATACAATCACGGAGGTATGCAGGACAGGCCATCCTGATACCAACCGACGACATAGGTCTGCTAAGGACAGACCCCGCGAAATGAAGTGATGCTTCGTCTTCTTGCCACTGTCTCAAATGTTCACCATAGTCCATCCAGCGGTGTCGCTGATATCTAAGAGCAGCTCAGGGTCACATTCCGTGCAAGAGTGCCTCTTTTCTAAAATTCTGAGTCAGGAGAAATCCCAACCCGCCAGACTACCCCATTCGCGAGAACCACGCCACAATGATTGTGCTTCCGTTTCAACAAGTTCATCTGAACTGCAGTAACAACGTTTCAACTAAAATCAAACTCCACGCTCGTGAAGTGGGCGGAGTCTAACAATCACTGCTTCTTCCCCCACTGCTGAACTCTCTTCTGGAACGGTAGAACGACTGCACTGCTCAACTGCAGAGAGAGAGGGGTTAAGGTATCCTCGACAGCTTCTTTTAATTTTTTTTTGTAGCTCTGCGGCTACTCTGCGGTTACACCCTCATAGCTGTGAGCCCGGAACCCATGTTTCGCTATGAATAACTCTCTCATAGGCAATAGAGCACAGCTGTGTGGTAATTGCGTTGCCCTTTTTCTAAGCTTCCTGGTGAATACATGAATGGGGCACGAAAAAAGCTGAACCTACAAAAACAACTCTATGCTACTTCCTCCTCCCCCTAAAGTAACTTCACAAAACATCCAATAATTCATACTGGCTGTTAACTCAATGTCTTAAAATAGGTTAAAAAGGAAAGCTCCACCCTATGAACATTAAAAATCACCCTACGGTCCGGGATTTGTTACGCATGATCACAACGGAAGGAAGACGTCGAAATACAAGGGCTTAGCAGGAGTTCCTTACACTTCTAGATAAAACCACTATACTTTCATGGCAGTCTGGATCTATGTTTGGATCACCTAAAGAGAACGGGAGTGTTGGCCAGGGAACGATTCTGGCCTGACGTCATCGGTAGAATGGTGTTCAGCCACGCCGCTTGCGAGTTTGTATGAGTGTACAAGTTCTGGTCAGCCTGATACTGGACGTTACATCAGGGGAGGGGTAGCAAAGTGGCAAGAAGCCCGCTTACCACGCGCGTCATACGGAGTTAATGGCATAAGGCGCGGCATTTTGGTACTTGCTAAAAATAGTAGCAGGGGTGCTGGCGGGATAGTGACGAAAAGCGAAGTTGAGCGGAAAAAAACTGCGGAAAAATCTCTGTTCCGCGGACTGCATAAGATTTTTAGCGCTCCCGCCCCAGGTGCACGCTCGACGCAACCAAGCCTTCTATTTTGCGCGTGAGTAATATTTTTTTCGCGTACCAAATCCGTCTGGGAGGATAAGAACACCAACTTGTACATCGGCTGACCCCCGCTAGTCATTGCATAGATCACATCGCATTTAGGATGCTACTACGATCCTGAAGGGAAGCAGAATGCACGCCGCATCCCAAAAAGGGGTTGATCAGCGGAGAAGACTGCCTTTTTTATGCCTTCAAGAAAACGTTGCAAAATTACTAGTTTTGTCAGCTATGCAGCCTAGTTTTTTTTCTTTCAGAAATGGCTCAGGATATGAAAAGTGGCAGTGTTTTCATGAAAATATACCGGAAGGTCCTATCTGTATTACCGGGACAAAGTATAGTGTGACTTCTTAAAAACAAGCCTCTAGGATAAATTAAATGATACTAAAGGGAGGAATCTAATAAATATCGTTGTTAGAGTGTCTTGATTCTTTTCTGAAAGATCTGCTCTGTAAAGACAGTTCGCTCGACGTTGATCAACTTCTTTGCGGTGCGCCATGCAGTCGCCATCTTTTCGAAATCGTAGAGCCATTTGAACTAGCCTTGTGCCACTGATCCTTGTCAATCAATAATCGAGCTAAAGTTCTCAGTGGATCTGCCCTAATAAGTCGATCACGATCGACGCTAGGGTACATCAAAGCCGATGGGCGCGCTGACCATGAAGGCGGGGCTTTTATTCTGATGTCATTGGTGGAAAGAACTTAGGTCACACCCCACACCGATCTCGGGGTATAATGTAATGCCATTAAAGTTATAACAGCGTAGAAGCATCGCCTCTTATCCAACGCCCTCACTGTCTTCAAAAGGCATGTGGCACGATAGACCGTCAGAGCGTACAGGGACGATACTCCTAGCACCCCTTTAGCAAGCGTTGCATGGCGCCTTTTCCAACAAAAGCCGCCGTTACAGCGCCTTTCCAGGGTGCAACATACCGACCCGGACGTCCATTGCATTCGCTCGCCCAAAACTGGTCGTACACTCACATTGACGCTGGTGCTCTTATCGCTTCATTTATGAAGTACAACTGATATGAAGCGTTGCTACATCGATGCATGAGTACACACACGCAGCAGTACCTAATAAAGCGATTGTGGCGCAGTGCCAACAGGAAACTCGTACAAAAT